GGCCATCATCCCTGCCAGCACTTCACAGGGTTTTGGGAGCTGCTGCCTCTGAGACCATGCAGGCTGAGAAGAGCAAACTGAGATGAATGCTCTTCTGATGGTGTTTCTGTGTGCTGTGCTCTGTATGGACTTTGGTGAGTTGTTCAGGGTTAATGCAAGTCTGAGGCTGGGGGAATGATAGCTATTGTTTTTTTTCCCTGGAGAAGACATATTCTTAAATTCTAAACCCATTGGTCTTTAAGAAGACAACAGGCTACTTGAACAAAGAGCAGCTGTGCAAGATCAGCTTTGCCTCTCCTTCACACTTCTGCAGCAGGGCCCTGTTCTTAGACACCCTACATTGTTTAGCTGCCCACAGAGGAAACCAAAATTTGTCACCTTCTGTGTTTCTCACAAGAAAGGGCCCTTTTTGGTGTTGCTGCAAATCCAATCCCAGCTTTGGATGGAGCTAATGCTGCACTTTTTGTGGGGAGTACAGCTGAACTTTGAGCTAAAAATTGAGTGCAGCCTTTACTGCTGTTCTGGCCCTGTGACCATTTGGGGAAGTTCTTTACTATGAGAGTGGTGAGATACTGGAACAGGCTGCCCAGAGAGGTTGTGGATGCCCCATCCTTGGAGGTGTTCAAGGCCAGATTGGATGGGGCCCTGGGCAGCCTGGTTCAGCATTAAATGTGGAGGTTGGTGGCCCTGCATGTGGCAGAGGGGTTGGAGATTCATGATCCTTGAGGTCCCTTCCAACCCTGGCCATTCTGTGATTCTGTGAAATACTGTAATGTGATAGTTGAATGTCAGGATCTGCTGAGAGCCTGATGCCCTGAAATCTCACCTGTAAAGAAGTTTTTTTCTACTGGGAAGTGGGTGTTTAGCAATTTTGGGTGTAGGTAGGGCAGTAGAAGGGCTGGATCTACACAACCACACTGTCTGTCTTAATGTCCCGTGGCCTGCTGAAGGATGAGAATGAGTCCAACTGGGAAGGAGATTCTTTCTTTGACCTCATACAAACAGTCTGTGTTTCCCTCCCATAGCCAACTTGCTGATGTGCTATGTCTACACCAACCAGGCCAGCAAAGATCAGTGCCTGGAGGCTTCCAGATGTGTCAGAAACGAGACAGTCTGCATGAATCCTATTTTGAAGATCAGTGTTGATGAGTCCCATGGCCATGACCTAGCTGGTTGTGGCCTCCTAGCCCTGATGCCCAATGTTCCTGTGTGCTCCAGATCTACTTTCAGTGAGGCTGTTTCTGTTCTGGTGGATTGGGGTCTGAAATGTTCCCCATTGCTGGTGATTTGGGAAACCCAAATATTGCAGGTCAAGCCCAATTTGCTTGAGCAGAGAAACAAAGGGTAATTAAATAAACCATAAGTCATACAACTTGGGTGATCTCTACAGGGTAAAGATAGGATTTGCCCTTATGACAAAGGTTCATGGGTTGTTTTTGTTTGTCTCTTGATCTATTGGAAGGTGATCAACAAATCTGCAAACTTGCAGTCTGCTTTTCATGAATTCTGCAACTACTACAATTGCACTTATAGAACTGTAAATCATTAAGGTTGGAAAGGACCACCAGGATCATCAAGTCCAAAAGCTGACCCATTACCACCATACCCTACACTAAACCATGTCCCTAAGCACCACATCTACCCTTTTCTTGAAAACCTCCAGGGATGCTGACCCCACCACCTCCCTGGGCAGCCAGTTTCAATGCATTGCCACTCTTTCAGAGAATAAATTTTTCCTAATATCCAATCTGAACCTCCCCTGGAACAACTTAAGGCCATTAACACTCATCCTAGATACAAGGAGGCATCCGGGACGAGATGTCCTTTCCTGTTGCTGAGAACTGCAGTTCAGTGTCAGCAGGTCCATTCTCTGAACTGAACTGTGATGCCCTAGAAGACTGGGTTCCTGTTGAATAACCCATGCCAGTCTCTTAGCCCATTCTGGTCTCCCAATTCCTCCCATTGTTTGACTCATCTGTCTCCTGAACAGCTGGTGATCAAACATGGACAGGCCAGTCTGAACCTGACTTGATCCTTCCTTTAATCTTCTAGTTTTTCATGCAACGGGGCTCTGTGGCCACCGTGAAATAAAAGAGAATAAATAAATAACACCCATCTTGGAAATGTCTGTTGATAGCTGACTCACAGCAGGGCTGGAGTTTTGCAAGCAGCATGGTCTGGTTGTTCCTGCAATTAGAGAGAGCTAAACAAATGGAGATGAGTAGGAGGAGGATATTATCCTCATCAGCACAACCCTGGAGCAAAGTGTGTCTCCTACTGCTTCAGCCAGGCAGAAATTTCTGAGGGTGCATAGAAAGGCATCTAGAAAATCATTAATTTACATATTCAGTGGTATTTTACCATCTACTCTCTGGTCCTGACAAGAATTGGGACACTGCAGGGAAGGCATATAAGCAAATGAAAGCTCCTGGATCTGTTCCTGGCCCAGAGGTTAGCTGGTACCCATCTGTATCCCTCCAAAATAAAGTGGCTGAGTCCAAAATGCCAATTGGAAAGTATGTCTAAGTTGTGTTAAGTCCTGCACCTGTCCAGGAATTGTCAGAGATGGTCTTCATCATTTAGGCAAAAACTGTGCTAATAATTAAACAACATGGACAACTGTTCCCATCCTGTAAGACAGCCTTTGAAACTGTGACCGAACTCTTCATGTATGTCATGGTTCTATGTTTTTTGTTTTTGGGTTTCAGTATTCCACATCAAAAAAATTTTTGGGATAGATATAACTGTTTCTGTGACAGCTCTTCTTCAGTGTGGTTCTAGCCTCAGGGAAGCTGGAAGGTTGGTGACTTCCTCTGTAGCACAACTGGATTCCCCTATTACAAGCAAATTAGGTAATATGGTACTGGAAAGCCCCTGAGGCACCATTTTCCTTCCTTGAGCCAAAGGGCAACTTCTCCAAAGGATTTCAACTCCTCTGTGTAACCTGGCCCCCCGGCTGCCCATGCTGTATTGTTGAACTTAAATATCTCTGTGCTGTGGTGGGACTCCCATGGTGAGCACCCAGATATCTTCAGAGCACTCAGGAAAAGTGTGAGCACATGGGATATGGGGTCAGAGCCAAAGCATTAAAGTCCTTCAGCAATTTGGAATATGAAGAGTTTAAGCCCATGTTGACTTTCAGCAAGCCCTGTAGATTCAATAATGCACCATGTTAATCATGTTGTTATTTTTCACTTCTTCCTCAGAAATAAGAGTCAAGTCAGATTAAAGCAAACTGCTTCCTTGCCTATGCAGAGCTTTGTCCTTTAGCTGCAGGACACTCAGCCTTGGCTTCCCATGCTGATTTCCAGATCCTTACAAAGAGTCATCCCTGCAGGAGGACATCATCTTGTGAATCACACTGGGCAATCCTTGTTCTCTGCAGTGGGTCTGGCTCTTTGGTTGCTGCCTCGTGACATCGAGGAGGACTGACACACCTCCTTCAGCATCCACAATGGCAAGCAATCCCTATGCCTGGCAGAACTTCATCTGTTGGGCAAGAGATGTGGCTTACCCTCTCCACGCCCAGAAGCTGTATGTCCATTGCTGAGGAATGATGAATGCTCATGAGGTTATCAGGGCTGACTTCACCATCCTGTTAATCCTGTTTCATGTCAACAGTAGCCCCAGTGGTTTGAAGCCAATGTCAGAAACCTCAAAAATACCTGAAAATTGCTACCCCCAACACCAGTACCCCCCCTCACCATTTATTATTATTATTTTTTTCATCGAAAAGGATGATATCATGGGTTTTGGTGTCCCTCTGAACTTCCTCTGGCCATGCCTTCACTGTGGTGAGCAATGAGTAGTCGTATCAGGTGCCTTAAATGTGCAAGATGCTCATGACTTCTGCTTCAAAGCTGCTCACACATCTGGCTGATCTGTTCAGGACCTAAAGTTCACCCAGGTATTTTTGCCTTCCCTTTCTCCATCTAAACTCTTCTACATGTTCTCTGAGTCTCTGCCAATTCTTATTCTGCATCTCCATCTCCTAAATCCCAGGTTGTATCCAGGTCCCTGTTCTCCTTCTTCGATCCCATTTTCTTTCCTCAGCCAAGTCTTGCAAGGTGGAGGAGTTGAGCAGAGCAAGCAGCTGTAATCTGGCGGAGAATCTGTTCCTGCTTTGTCCTCTCTGCTCTTTGGTGGCTGGGTCTATGATGATTCATGGAGAAGTCTGCAGATTTTGTGCACCAGTTTTCCTGGTAACTCTTTCCTTAGAAGCCGAAGTGTGACAAGCAGTCAAACAGAGGCTACAGATGGTCTTAAATTATCAGCTTCAGCTCCACCCAAATAGATAAACATACAGAGAAGTCATATGGGCGGGGAACCTTACATTTGAATGCTATCTAGCAGCACTTTGCACTGGATGCTCTGTGTAGAAGGGGGACAAAGGTGTTTTTACACTTTTCTCAGGTGTAGCAAAGCTGGAAACCAACTTCCAATATGCTAGCTCCTTTGTTTGAACACCAAAGCCATTGTTCTCTTGCTGCAGCTCCTTTCAGAAGTAGGATGCGAAGCATTTAGGACTTTATAGGTAACCAGCAGCTTTTATAGGCTACAGGAAATCATAAAACGTTTCCTGTTTATATTGTCAATCATGAATACAAAGCTCGATCTACCCTGACTGTAGACATAAGGGAGTTCTCCAGGTCTAATCCTGGAAAGGCACTTGGCAGTCATCCACACAATGAAGGCATTAATTTATGCTACTTATTGCCGTTTTGCTTTGAGTAGATGCCTTTGCTGAACTATCTGGCCATAGATGTGGTGCAGTAGTGCTACACTGATAGTACTACTAGCCTGACCATAGAGACATTAAAGCATTAAAAGCAATAAATAGGATGAATTGCCCTGGTGGTGCTTTCACTCATCTTCAGACCCATCAGACCAGCCCGAAGGCAATGCCGAGGTGAGAAAACAACCAACGTGCATTCCTATCCTGTCAAATAATACATGATCCCTGCCCATCTTTTCAAATTGTTGTCTTCATCATCACTCAGTCCAAACGCAGGCGAGATATATATCCTGTCCCCAGATGAGGGTGCTTTTCTTGAGCTGTGAAGACGACTGAGAAGATGAAAGCTTCCCTCCTTGTCCTTCTGGCTTTGGTCCTATGTGCACATGAAGGTAAGAGCATGGTTTCTACTACACAAAGAATTGTTGAATGTTGGAAAATCAGAGAGGACTTGTGGGAAGAGACGTCTTAGTGCTTGTAGTGCCTCAGTGCTTGCAATGGAGCTACTGAAGGACATGGAATTCCTCTTCGATTTCTCAGCTTGAATGTATGAAGGCTTGCTTTTTTTTTTTGGAGCATATTTCTCTATAAACTCACATACTACTGGACTTTTATGAAAGCAAGACCAACAAAAAAGTAGGAAGCAGTTGCCACTTTTCTGTCTTTGATAAAAGACTTTCCAGTGAGTTTGTTTGTTCAGATGTTGTAAGACTGTGGTTATTTCTATATCTTGATGAAATGCTCCAGCCTACAATCACACAATGCATCCATTTCTTTGTGCTGCTATCTCCTCCTGCAGCTATTGACACAATTTCTAGTGGGATAGGGCCAGATCTGCATCTTCCTTTGTGCAGCTTCCTGCTGAATGCCCCTACTGTCTGCCCTTCTCAGAGACCCTACCCAAGTGATTTCTGGGTCTTTGGAGTCAAGCTGGGGAATTAGGGAGAAGTTTGGTAGTGAGCTATATGGTATAAGTGTCTTTATGCTGGGATATTGGGTGGAGAGGAATATTTGCTTCTTATTTGCATTATGGATTGTATTGTTTATTTTACTGAGATTGAAATCTGAGCCCCCTGAAAGTATATGGTCCTATATCCGCTATTGACAAAATACATAAGTAACCAGGAAAGTAAATGTCATCCTTGATTTGTAGAGCGAAATAAGGTTTTCCAGCTCCTGGAAATTTGCCACATTTTCTGCTGTAGAAATAATTTATTGGAATAGTTATTTCTGTCTCATAGAGGCCTAAGAATACCTTCCTGCTATTTACCTTGGTTCACTTTCTAGAATAGTGATTTTTGCAAATTTCCAAGTGTTAACAAGGCCCAGGGGACAGAGAGATTCTCTTCAGCACCAAAACCAAGAGCACCTTAACTTAAGTTAGATAACTTAGGCAGTAAAAAACAAGGGCTGTACATGTCTTATGGCTGAATTCACACAGCTAAGAGTTAAATGTAATATTCTTCATTGGTATTTTAACACAGATTTGAAGGCATTGAAGTTCCACTCATAGACCCTAAGTGTGAGGACTGACAACTTCAGGCCATGGAGGTCCCAATTAATGGGGCAAACAACTGCCAGCACTTATGGACCAGTTGGGCTGTACTCTTATTCATAGTGTCCCTAGCAGCTAGAAAAAGTGAATCCAAGCCTTGGGACATCCCTGTAGACTCCTACAGCAAATCCTGACCTTCCCTGCTCTTTGCATCATATTGAACCCAGTGTCTTCGACTCACTGTGCTGTATTTAGAGTGCAGGGCAGGATCTTCTACATACAGATGCCTGCACCTGGGTGCATGTGTTGGGTTTAAATGTGCAAAGTGTGCAGAGAGCAGAGTGAGATGAGTCTGAGTCTTGCAAATCCATAGTTTTCAGCAAACTTGCATGTTGTGCACTTGAGGGGCAATGGAAAGAAAGTGGTAATTTTTGCTAGTGGGAGTAATAGCATTTTGTCATCATCTTTCATATTCCATCTTCTCATGTCTCATCCTGCAGCAAAAGCCCTATATTGCTACACCTGTGAGTGGGAACAAAGCAACTGGAGCTGTCTGAAGGCTAAGAAGTGCTCAGACAAGGATGAGTACTGTGTGACAAACGTTGCTGCTGTAGGAATAGGTATGTGCTGTCAGTGCACAGGGACTCAGGAATGGAATGTGGGGTTTTGGCTAGGTTGCCCTTTGTGAATGGATGAGTTGAGGAATCATGGGGAAGGACATATGGAAGATGGAGATTTTGATAGCCCAATCTGGCAGTGCTGAAGTTAGCAGAGTTTGAAAAATTCCTCCCCAACACAGCTTGGGATCTTCTTTCTTGTTTTATGCCTGCATGTAAAAGGATGCTGAAAAAGGTCTAGTGAGATGCAGAAGGAAATAAAACCTGGCAACGTGCTTTCAATCCAGGCAAGAACATTCCTTCATGGATCTTCATGGAGCTGGATTCAATGTTCCTTGTGAATCCCTTCTACCTCAGGATATTAAATGATTCTATGTATGCCATCTTTGTACACCTAATAAAGACTCAGCATGAGGATCTATGCTGGGAAGTGCTGGATGCCCTTCAGAGATATTAAATGGTCTTGGCAATCACGGAGTGGGTGAGATTGGGAGGGGTCTTATTGACCGAGCTGTTCTCATGACAGGAAGACATATTAGTTCCTCTTCTAGAAGACTGAAGAGCTCTTGGGAAGTCCACATCACTAATACTGCTCTCCCCTTTCTCCTTTGATCAAGGTTCTTTGTCTTTCTGGAAGAGGATCACTAAGAAGTGCTCCAAGACCTGTCCATACCACAACTTCAGCCTGGGCCTGGCTACCTACACCTCGTTCTGCTGCCAGACCTTCTTGTGCAATCTGCCTGCCTGCCCAGGACCCAGGCTTGCTCGTCCATAAGATGTAGGGGCTCCTGAATCAGTGCCCTTCACTTGCTCAGAGAAAAGGGCTCCTGAAGGCCTGAAGAACATGGTCAGATTTCCCCAGAAGGGTATGTCGGGGGGAAGTCTTTCAGTGAGAGTGTGATGTAGTCTTGGAACAGGTTGCCCAGAGAGGTTGTGGTGCCCTGACTATGGATGTGATTGAGACCAGGTTGGACGGGGACCTGGGCAACTTATCTAATGGTTGACAACCTTGCCTGCGGCAGCGGGATTGGAACTTGATGATCCTTGAGGTCTCTTCCAACCCAAGCCATTCTACGATTCTGACTCTATGATTCCATGATTATGTGATTCTATGACTCTATGATTCTACGATTCTATGGTATGGACACCATGCATGCATGCTAAGTAGATAAAATATTATGGTTGCCACCTCCTGCCCTGTGTTGCTTTTTCATCTGGAGCTTCTTACTTGCTTCTTATGCCTGAGTTCTGTCACCCCAGCACTTTGATGGAGAAGTGGCCATGCTATGTCCTCTGCAGCTTGGAGGAGGGAGATGCTGCTTCTGCACGGCCTGTGCCTCTCTGGAGGGATTTCTCCTGCAGTCTTGCCTTGTCTTGGGTGCAGGTGGGAGCCACACAGCAAAGAGCAGCTTTCCAGCCTTGGAATAGAGGGTAGACCAGAAATAAGTACTTCTTGTTGCCAATTCAAAGTAAACTGTACAAACTCACATCATGTCTGACGGGGAAGGGGAACAGTATAAAAACCTAAGCTTGTAATGCATCCCAACCACAGATTTTCTCCCTTGCCTCCTGCTGTACAGCCTCTTGCTCCTGGTCTTCAGCTAGTGCCAGTGACATTCCTGTGCTACCATGCCATTAGCAGTTGACATTCTTGTTGCTTTTGGCTCTGTCCATGATGCCACACTTTTATAAAAAACGAACTGCTTATCTGCAGATCCATTTCCAGGGGCTCTCACTGGCCACCCCCTTCATGTTGCCTTGCTTGCTTGCAGCTGCTGTTTGAGCCAAGTGAACCAGTTCCCCTGGATCTAGCTCTTGGCAATGCATCGTCCTGATGACAATGAGTCATTCATTTATCCATCCCTCGGACATCCCTCAGAGCAACTGCAGGGTAATGAAAAGTACTTGCAGCCTTTGGGTCCATCTGGGGAGGAACATCTGGAGAGGTTTATGAGAGAAGAATACAGATTTTTGAGTATTTCATGTAGATGTTTCCAGACGCTGCAGAGAATGGAGGGTAAAAGGAAGCTGAAAAAATGAATGATGACAATGAGAGCTCAGGGACTCTCCATTGCCAGAGGTGTTGCTGAGTGCCTTTCCCTCTTCCCCAAAAGCACTTTTTGAAGGAGAATGGAAATGCACAAACTTGGATAAGCTGGGAGGGTGGAGGAGCTCTTCTTAGGTCTGGGGCCATGATTTGGATGCTGAACCTTTACACCACACTCCCAAGAGCAAAACAGAGCACATCTGCAGCCCAGGACTCGCTTCACAATCAACTCTCTCTGAGCTTTCAAATCTGCAAAGTGCTGCTCAGCCAAAGGATGACGCTCCGTGCTGTGTGGTGCTTCCAACCCAACGCTGGTAAACAAGGGGACAAAAGGGGCTTTGAGCCCTGCAGAGTGCATCTCCCTGGGGCCGGTGCCATGGCTTGCCGGATGAATGCCTCCTTCTGAAATGCTGCATAACGGCAGCCTTCAGAGATGCATGCTCTCTTTTATTAATCGACATCAGCTTTTCCTTTACCCCTACACCAAGCTGCAAGGGAAGCTCTCTGAGCTGAAGAAGCTGTGCTGACCAATGCACCTCTCTTTACCTCTTAGACCACAATCGTTTTCATGCCCTAATTAGGAATCTGCTTCTTCTTTTCGCCTTGAAGCAATCACAGCACCCTCCTGTCTCTAAGCCTGAGTGCTCAAAAGCTCTAATTTACTCCAGACACAATTTTTTAATGTAAAAAAATCCGACTTTGTGTGTGTGCGTATTTTTGGTTGTTGTTTTTTGTTTTCTGTTTTTTTTCTTTTCAGTGCACCAGAATTATTCAGCTCTCTGAAAGGAATCCCAGTTGGACAGACTCTAATAATTAATATTTCATTGCATTGGATTTACACATCCTGCAGCAGCAGAGACAGTCCCCTGCAGCCTGCAGGAAAAGACAGGATTGTTTTCTTCCCCCTTTTTTTTTTTTTTTTTTTTTTTTTTTGCCATTTTCAAGCAGAACTGTCTTATTTTGCTTGGTTTGCTGGCTTGGTTTGCTCTATCCTTGCTGCAGAAAAGCCTTCTTGTACCCCATGGTAAATATAAAGAAACATAAATGTAAAGAGCAAAAGGCACTGCAGCTCTAAAGGCATTAAAATGTGACCTCCTCCCATGGCACAAAACCATCCTGGAGGAGCAAAACCTCTTATCTGAGATGTGTGGGTAGAAAAAAACTTAGGTGCCATGTCTAACCACTGATTCTTCCCAGCAGTCAGAGTTGATGGGGACCACAGAGAGATAGCAATCATTAGCACAAGGATGAGGCTGTACAGAGAATTACCCCATGGATCCCAAGAACTTGAATCAGACTTTTGGAATGGGTACTGCACCAGTCCCTACTTGTCCTAGCACATGGCATAAAGTGCAAGAGCACTTTGAGTTTGTCTTCCAAAGTGATGGTAGACACTGGAGAGAAGCACATGGAGGAAGAAGTGCCTGAGCATGGCAGGAGGCAAACACTGCATCCTTTCAGTGGCTGGAGCTGGCATGTGCATGCAGCATAGAGGTGAAGAAACACACAATTACAGATGACATAGTAAGTGCTTGATTGCAGATAATAAATAGCAGTTTAAATACCTAAGTGATGAGTCAAATGGAAGGAAGGGGAAGCTGTGACGTAGCTGCTTTGGGGCCAGATGGTTGTATGGTCAGATCTACTGTGTCTGGTTATAACCCTTCTCCTCAAGCATCACAGCTATAAACTTGAAGCCTCCAACAGCCAAACCCATGCAATAAATTTAGCCCAAGCTGTGAGTGTGTGAACAAAGCTGAAAGAGTGCTGGAAGCCAACTGGAGCCATCAAGCCTCGCAAAGATTAGGGCAAATGGCAAATACAGGTAGTCAAGCCTTTCTATGGCTGCCATCCACCCAAACCAACAAGATGAGTGTTAAGGCAAGCAGGAAAACCTCAAACCACCTTTCTGAAGAGTGGTTCCACCAAAATGTTGCACAACTCTCTGTAGGGTTTGGCGTGTAGGGTCATATCCTTGTTTTCTTTGTGGGATTGTGAGCATCACTAGGATGTTGGTGAGACCCTGCAGACAACCCTGCCTATGGCAGGGGGCTGGAGCTAGATGAACATAGATCCATAGAATCATTGGAGTTGGAAGGTCATCTTGAGTTGGAAGGTCATCTAGTCCAACTCCCCTGCAACAAACAGAGACATCTACAGCTCATTATTGTGATTATTATTATTATCATTATTATGTTATTCAGGGACTGGACCTTGAATGTCACCCAGCACATCTCTGGGCAACCTGTTCCAGTGCTTCACTACCCTTATAGCAAATAAAAATAAAAATAAAAATAAAAATAAAAATAAAAATAAAAAAAAAAATTGTCCTTATATTCAGTCTAAATCTTCCCTCTTTTAGTTTGAAACCATTTCTCCTTGTCTTATCACAACAGATTCTGCTAAAGTCTCTACCCTCTTCTTTCTTACAGACCCCCTTTTAGACACTGAAAGGCTGCTCCAATCTCCCTTAAACCTTCTTTTCTCCAGGCTGAACAGCCCCAGCTCTCTCAGCTTCTCCTCACAGGGGAGGTGTTCCATCCCTTGGATCATTTTTGTGGTCTTACATCTCCATGGACTAATGTCACTTTCCTGCTGCGGCCTGGGGTGGGATCTCAGCTTTGAGGGAAATTCCAGCAATTTGGGGAGTTTTTCAAAAAAGAAATTAGTATTTCCAAGGTCCTGTATGGACTCAAGTCACATTTTTATTTGTTGCACAGATTGAAACCAGCTGTTTTAATTTTTATTTTCATTTTGTTTCTTCACTTTTGACTTCACAGAAAACAGAACCATAGAATCATTAAGAAAACACCTTCAAGACCACCTAGTCCCACTGCCAATCAATTACCGAAATCACTAACCCATGTTCCTCAGTGCCACATCTTCACATTTCCTGAACATGTACAGGAACAGTGAATCCACCACCTCTCAACCAGTAGAAAGTGAAATAACCTTTGGGAAGCTACACCATGGCCTTCATTGGCGTATCTCAACTCTGAATGCATCAACGTTGAGTTAGTAGAAAACTGGACACTTTGGGGGTGATTCCCCAAATTAGTTGCTTTGAATCACTGACAAAATAAAAATAATGACAGCAGAAATATGGGAAGAAATGAGACTCCTTATACTTACTGAAAGGAAACTTGACAGAAGTCAACACATTCCCACAAAACTTCAATTTTGCATTAGTGAATATTCAGAGTGACAGGTGTCAAAAAAAAAAAAAAAGAAAGAAAGAAAGAAAAAAAGAAAAAAGAAAAAAAAAAAGGTAATAACTTTCCTGGGAAATCCTGGATGTATTCCAACAATGAGAGCTGATCTAAGCCCACGAGAGGGAGCTGATGCCTCTGTACGGCACTGGAGTGGCTAGAGAATGCCAGAGCAATTTTCAAGGGAACAGAAACCAGCAGCCATGCAAGGGATGCAAGGGCTCTGCTGGAAACCAACCAGACTGTGTGAGCAGCCCTGGCGAGCCTCCAGCGTCTGCTTACTCCCACGCTGTCGGCAGCAGGGGATGTGCCTCTGTTTGTTGGCATAGGGTTTTCTTGTTTGTCTCATATCAGCTCCTGGGGAGCTTGTTCTTGCTCTAGCATAGACTCATAGAATCATGGAACCACAGAACCATAGAATAATTTGGGTTGTAAGGGACTTTAAAAGTCATGCAGTTCCAAGCCCCTGCGCCATAGGCAGGGTTGCCAGTCACTAGACCAGGTTGTCCATAGTCCCACCCAACAAAATATCCAAAGCCCAAAGCTGGTACCAAGCTCTGCAAGGTTTCAGCCCACAGTGTATGGCTGTGGGGTACTTGGAAGTAAGATGCAAACCTCCCTTTCTTCCTGTGGTGCTCTTGGGAGTCCCGCCAAGTGCTGGGCTTTATGCAGGGAACATTCTTTTCTTGGCATCTGCAAAGTCCCCTGGCCTAGGGAGTGAAGAGAGAATCAAACTGGAGGGATCTGTGCTGTTACAGAATCATAGAATCATTAAGGTTTGAAAAGACCACTACAATCATCTAGTCCAATTGTCAACCCACCAACACCATGCTCACTAAACCATGTCCCTCACTGCCACAGCTACACATTTCTTGAACGCCTCCCAGGACAGTGACTCCATTACCTCCCTGTGCAACCTGTTTCAATCCCTCACCACTCTTCCTGAGAATAAATTTCTCATAATATCCATTCTGAATTATGGATGACTCTGTCCCCTCTTTCTGATTTTCCTGCACATTCCCTCTTTGCAATGACTCCTGTAACATCTTCTCCCCTTTCTAATACTAAATTCCACTAACTATTTCCATTCCTCCTTATCCATGGGGTGTAGCCCCCTCCTTAACCTTTAAAACTTGCCCTCCTGGTGCCATGCAAAGCTCAGATCCTGCAGTGCTATTCTGCTATAACTGATGTAACACTCATCCTCCCTTTCATGCAACACAGGAATCTGTCATGGCAAAACCAGAGCTGCTCCCACGTTGCTCCCTCCTACAGAAATGCTGTTCTTCGACTCACTGTAGAGCTGAGGAGCTCTTAGAAGCTTTATTAGGACCATTTTACAATTGGAGGTGAGAGCAAAGGAGTGGATGTTGCTCAGTGTATTGGCCAAAGCATGATTTGGTGTCAGCAAAGACTCAAGTCTCGCAGTCAGAAGCATGAGCTCAAACCCATCTGAAGGGATTCATGAGCCATCAGTCTCATGTTCAACCATGAGGACGGGTGCTGCACAGAGTAGAAATTGCAGGGCCAGGACTTGTCCTCCAGAGCTGATCCCAACAGCAGGATAAGATATAGAGTCCTGTGTCCTCAGGAAACCTCTAAAAGCAGTGGGTGAGAGTACTGGTGTGGGTGAGGAGGGCAGAGTAAATAAATGCTACAGCAGAGAGGAGAGCAAGGAGAAGGCTTGGAAATGTCCTCCACCCTAGAAAACCTGGGACAGCAGCTTATCTACTCCTTGCCCAGCTCCCAGCTGGAATGTCAGCAGTGGTGACAAGGGAAGGCAGTGCTTTGCCCCTCTGCACAGTTTAAAAACCTCTCCAGGCTGCTTTGTTTCTTCTCTCCCCATGCTCAGAGCTTTTTGCTGTGTGAGGAAAAGCTGTCGTGCTGTTGGGCTGGATGTAACTGTGGATTGATGCTCCCCCCAGGGCTTGTCCACATTGTGGGACTGAAGGATTCAGAGGAAGAAAAGCTTGAAGAATTGCTGAGTTTTGGGAAATTTAATTTCCCAAAATACCCACTATCACCAAGGCGTGGTACAGAAATTCAGTCCTGCCTGAGATCCTTTCCTGCTTCCAAGGAAACCAGCACAAACGGTGCTCAGCACATCCCAAGCATTACAAAAAAATGGCCCACTGGGTCTGGGCTGTCTCCTGCATGTGGTCTTGACATTGGTGAAAAATTCACCTCTGAAATTGTACTGACGAGCAAGCCCATGCCCTTGTCCTTGAATTATTTACTGGTGTAGACGTAGGCTCAAATCTCCTTTTTATTATCAGAACATTTCAGAGGGCACAACCATGTTGTGCAACCCAATTCCTGCACATGCAGTAATTGCATGTTTAGTATGATGTGTTGCATCCTCTCCTTCCTAGCCATGTTTCTCTGGGGAAATGAGATGGAATGCTCCATCCCTGGAGGCGTTCAAAGCCAGGCTGGATGTGGTTCTGGGCAGCCTGGTCTAGTGGTTGGCAACCCTGCCTGTGGTAGAGGGGTTGAAAACAGTTGATCATTATGGTCCTTTTCAACCAGGCCATTCTATGATTCTATGATTCTATGAATGAATGGCATCAGAGTGGGATGTTGTCCCACAGTAGGAGTCCATGGCAGTGGAACACTGAAGATGTTGCAGCTGTGGAAGTGATACCAGAAGGTAATGTCAGGTGTGATGGGTGGATCAGTGGGGAAAGTTGTGCCTGGAGAATGAGAAGTGAGGTTTCGTCTTCAAAACAGGTATCCAGGGTTGAGCCTGTCCCAGAGACATTTTTATTAGCTTTTCTTTTGTCCCAAATCTCTTTTAGAATGAACAAAGAGTGCTCAAGCATTGGAACAAACTGTCCAGGGAGGTGGTGGAGTCACTGTCCCTGGAAGTTTTCATGAACTATGGAGATCTGGTACTGAGGAACATGGTTTAGTGGATATGGAGGAGATGGGTTGGGGTTGGACTTCATGATCACAGTGATCTTTTTCAACTTTAATGATTCTATGACTTTAAAGTTGGGTTTTCCTCCATGCTGGGGAGGCAGACGACAGAAGAGAGCAGCTGTGAACAAAAGCAGGGCGTGATGCCAAGCACTGCGTTTACAGCTCAGAAATGGGAGGATGTTTCCCTGCAAACAGAGAGAGGGAAACTTCATAGAGCTTCTTTTCCCATCAGAGATCCTGCTTAGACCTGTTATAGACCGCCTAGTCAGGACGAAGAGTTGGATGAGGCATTCTATGAGCAGCTCACTGAAGTCACGCGATCGCCAGCACTTGTTCTGATGGGAGACTTCAACTTCCCTGACATATGTTGGAAATATAATATAGCGCAGAGGAAGCAGTCCAGAAGGTTTCTAGACTGCGTGGAAGATTGCTTCCTTATGCAACTGGTAGGAGAGCCTACCAGGGGCAGTGCCCTGCTGGATCTGGTCTTCGCTAACAGAGAAGGACTGGTGGGAGAAGTGAAGGTTGGGGACTGTCTTGGACAGAGTGACCACAGAATTGTAGAATTCTCCAGTCTTGGGGATGTCAAAAGAGCGGTCAGCAGAACTACCTTCTTGAACTTCCAGAGGGCAGACTTTGATCTGTTCAGGGAGCTTGTAGCGCAGGTCCCTTGGGAGTTGCTTCTCAAGGGTAAAGGGGCACAGGAAGCCTGGACGCTCCTCAAGACCGAAATCTTGAAGGCACAAGAACAGGCTGTCCCTGAGTGCCGTAAGGCGAGCCGCAGGGGAAGGCGTCCGGTGTGGATGAGCCGGGAATTACTGTTGAGACTCAAGGAGAAAAAGAGAGTCTACATCCTCTGGAAGAAGGGACAGGCTGCTCGGGGAGATTACAAAGCAGTAGCTAAGGTATGCAGGGAAGAAGTTAGGAGGGTGAAAGCCCAACTTGAGCTCAGGTTGGCCTCTGCAGTAAAAGACAACAAAAAATCCTTTTATAAATATATCAATGGGAAAAGAAGAATCAAAGATAATTCTCATCCTATACTTGATGCAGCAGGGAACGTGGTCACTGAGGACAAGGAGAGGGCTGAGATCCTCAATGCCTTCTTTACATCTGCCTTTAATAGTCAGATCAGTTATCCTCTGGGCTTTTTATGCTCCGATCTGGAAGTCTGGGACACAGCACAGAATATGCCCCCAGCAATTCCAGTGGAGACAGTCAGAGAGCTCCTCCTCTGTCTGGACTGTCACAAGTCCATGGGACCGGATGGGCTGCACCCTCGGGTGCTGAGGGAGCTGGCGGGGGTGATTGCCGAGCCCCTCTCGGCCATCTATCAACTCTCCTGGTTAACTGGAGAGGTCCCAGAGGATTGGAGGCTTGCTGATGTGACTCCCATCTTCAAGAAGGGCCGCAGGGAGGATCCGGGGAACTATACGCCTGTCAGCCTTACCTCAGTACCAGGGAAGGTTATGGAGCAAATCATCTTGGACGAGATTGCACAGCATGTATGCAGTGTCCAGGGGATCAGACCCAGCCAGCACGGGTTTGTGAAAGGCAGGTCGTGCTTGACCAACCTCATCTCTTTCTACGACTGGGTGACTAGTCTGATAGATGAGGGAAGGGCTGTTGATGTAGTCTTCCTAGACTTCAGCAAAGCCTTTGACACGGTCCCTCACAGGCTTCTTCTGGGGAAACTGGCTGCCCGTGGTCTGAACAGATAGACACTTCTTTGGGTAAGGAACTGGCTAGAGGGCCGTGCCCAGCGGGTCGTGGTGAATGGAGTGAAGTTCAGCTGGCGACCCGTTTCAAGTGGTGTCCCCCAGGGGTCGGTACTGGGGCCGATCTTGTTTAATATCTTTATTGATGACCTGGATGAGGGGATTGAGTGCACCCTCAGCAAGTTTGCAGATGATACCAAGCTGGGAGGTGGTGTTGATCTGCCTGAGGGTAGGGAGGCCCTTCAGAGGGATTTAGACAGGCTGAACCGCTGGGCTGAGGTGAATGGGATGAGGTTGAACAAGGCCAAGTGTCGGGTCCTTCATTTTGGCCATAACAACCCCATGCAGCGTTACAGGCTTGGGGATGAGTGGCTGGATGAGTGTGAAGAAGAGAAGGACCTGGGGGTGTTGGTTGATGCGCGGCTGAACATGAGCTGACAGTGTGCTCAGGTGGCCAAGAGGGCCAACGGCATCCTGGCCTGCATTAGAAATGGTGTGGCCAGCAGGAGCAGGGAGGTGATCATCCCCCTGTACTCAGCACTGGTGAGGCCGCACCTCGAGCATTGTGTTCAGTTTTGGGCCCCTCACTACAGGAAAGATGTTGAGATCCTGGAGCGTGTTCAGAGAAGGGTAACAAAACTGGTGAGGGGTCTGGAGCACAAACCTTATGAGGAGCGGCTGAGGGAGCTGGGATTGTTTAGTCTGGAGAAGAGGAGGCTCAGGGGAGACCTCATTGCACTGTACAACCTCCTGAAGGGAGGCTGTGGTGAAGAGGGATCTGGCCTCTTCTCCCAGCCAATGAGCAGGACACGGGGCAATGGCCGCAAGTTATATCAGAGGAGGTTCAGGTTGGGCATAAGGAAGAACTTCTTCTCTCAGAGAGCAGTCAGGCACTGGAATGGCCTGCCCAGGGAGGTGGTGGAGTCACCGTCCCTGGCAGTGTTCAAGACGCGTCTGGATGACGTGCTGCGTGATATGGTTTAGTACTAGTGGTGGCAATGGTGATGAGGAGACAGTTGGACTGGATGATCTTACAGGTCGTTTCCAACCTTGTGATTCTTGTGATTCTTGTGATTCTTGTGATTCTTACTTTCCCTGCCCTGGTCGTGCTTTGGGCTGCAAAGGAAAGCAGCAATTGCAGCTGCAGCAGCAAAATCCACCTCTTTACCATGCCAGTGATTTTGGGCATGCTTCTCAAATTCAGAATGAGTCAAAACCCAGTACCCAGTGTATACAGTCAAACTGGAACACGCTGTTCCAACTATGCCCTTTTCTTGGCAAGCAAAGTGGTGTCTACAAACCCAGGGTGGTTTTTCCACGCTGCTATTGCTCCCTGGCATGGTGTGGGTGGCTTTTTGTTCCCATGCCCTTCCCAGGCTGTCATCCATGAGGTTTTCAAAGCTTTTGTTTGTGCTATGTGACTGGTGAGCTGGGTTTTGGAGGGGCAATAGATGCATGGACTGTGGCAAGAGAGCTGCTCTCCCCATAACTTTGAGCAGCAGGGATGGGGGTAAAGAACCAAAGCCTGGGAAGGCTGCAGCATGTTGCAAAGACAGACCAGTTCCTTTCCTTCCCTCTGCTTGACCACCAGTGAAAACATACATCATAAAACCATATTTTCTCCATGATAATAATAAAAGAAAATAAAAAAACCAACCACACACAGCTCTGACTCTTTGGCTGATCCTCCTGGGAAAATACCCTCTTGCTTGCTCTGTTAGGCATACAATTGTGTTCCCAGATATCCCGCTGTTTGTTTCTCTACCCTTCTGAAAACACACCTTTCGGGTTGGGATGGTTTCAGCCAGGATGTTTCCTCCATCCACTGCTCCTCCGCCTGCTGTGGGCTCACCTCTTGCAGAGACAGCCCTGTTCTCCTTGCTCTCCCTGTCTGCCTTTGAGGATGCGGTTGTGGAGGTTTCAGCATGGCTATTATCCAAGGTGTGACGAGTTTCTAGATGTAACAAGCACCTTTTTCTCACCATGCAACTGGAGTATTGACGCCTTGCTGGGTGAGCAGGAGCGGGTCAGGAGAAAAACTGGAGCACCCTGATCTTCCCACGCATGTGCTGAATTTTTCCACTCTCAACTGAGTCTCACTTTCCACTCTTAGTTGGGTTCTCACCTGCAAGAAATCAGAACCAGAATTCCTAAAACAAACGAATTGAAGGCAGGTTGTCTATGGAGCTCATTACAGCTTTCCCCCAGATGGAGAAAGAAAGTTTTCTCATTTCACTCTCAGCTCTCATCTAACCATGGAAATTTTAGCTATCAGGTTGCACGTTGCATAGCAGAAGATATTTCCAGCCCTGAAAGAACCATCACTCAAATGATTGGATGAGTCAAGCAAATTAAAAAAAAAAAAAAAAAAAAAAGAGAACAATTTTGCAAAGCATGACTGTTTCCTTGCCTTCTGGGGAAGAAGGGGATGTGTGGCATGCTGGGTGCCTTAATAATGGGTAGATAAGGGAAATTATATTTCTGACAGAAGGTAAATGGACAAGTACATCATGACTTTCTGGTGTCCCTGTGGAGGCTCTCACAAGGCCAGTTGCTACCACAGCTGTTTCACTGATGAGTTTCTCTCACATATCCCTAGAAGCTCCAAATGACTGTTCCCTGCACCACCACGTGACTCTAGGATCTTGAATTTTAGGAGGGCTGGACCTCCAGATATCCCACATTCAGGGAAATGCAATGGCAGAATTATCAGCTGAGCTGTGTTACAAGCGTAGCTTCAATAAACCTGTCCACAATAATGTCTCTCCAAACACAGTGGAGGCCAGTGGTGTCCTCCTTGAGAAAACTGGCATTAACTCCTTAGAGGGTTATTTTCCCTTCCAGCTCTTCTTCATCCCAATCATTCTTTCCATTGTCCTTTTCCTTCAGAGCCTACAGACTTCCAGTATCCCTCCTCCTGGCTACAGAGGTCTCACCATCAACATAAACCTTGGCTCTGAATCCAAGAAGGATGATTCACATCCACAGCCTCTTTCCTTTACAAACAGGGTGGTGACCTCCAAATTGCTTGCAAGGAACAGTCTCATGTGAGGGCTGCTGATTGAGGTGTGCCCAAACTGTTTTGATAGTCTGATGGTATGGATAAGGCTGGGCTTGTGCCCTGTTTGCTACTCTGGATGTGATCCTTGAGCCAGGACACTGATGGGGATGTGAGTCAGGATACTTGACCCCATCACTGAACTAGGTGATCTTAGTGGCCTTTTCCTACCTTTATGATTCTGTGCTTCTATGTCTGATGTGTCCCAAGCTGATGAGGATGAGTTATCTTTCATGACCTTGGAGGTTAAAGGCATGTGAGAAAATGGTTTTCGTAGCTTCTTGGCTGGTAGCCATGGCCCCAGTAGGCTCATGTTCATAGAATCATAGAATCATAGACTGACCTGGGTTGGAAGGGATCTCAAAAATCATATAGTTCCAATCTCCCTGTTGTAAACAGTTATCATCACTAGCTCAGGCTGCCCAGTGCCCCACTCAGCATGGCCTACAACGCTTCAAAGGATGGGGCATCCACAACTTTGGGCAACCTCTCGAGCCTCACTACTGTTATTCAGCTCTTGTGACCAATGGCAAAACTTTAGGTGACAGACAGCTGTCACACTGAGATAAAAGTCTACCAAATTCATATTGTTTTCAGCCAGACAAGGTGAATTTGGGCAAATCCTGTGCTTCCTAGCTGGAGGCTTGGTAGCCTCCACTAGCTACCATAAGGCTACCTTAAGGAGCTCTGTCCTGTTTGGAGCCTACTTACTCTGTTTGGAGCTAGAATGAGAGGTAATGGCCTTAAAGTCCACCAGGAGGGGTTCATGTTGGATGTCAGGAAAAATGCTTTCCCAAAGGAGTGATAGTGCACTGGGAAGGCTGTCCAGAGAAGTGGTGGAGTCCCCATCCCTGGAGGCGTTCAAAAACCAAGGAGATGTGGCACTTGACTACATGGTTTAATGCTCGTGATGGTGAAGGGTCAGTAGTTGGACCTGATGGTCTAAGTGGTATTTTCCAACACTCATAATTCTTTGATTCTACCAGTCAGATGCCTCTACACTTAACTGTTGCCACTGCAATGAAATATGGGGCCTTCCCTGACCCAGCAAGGAGGGAGGAGAGGACAAAACCTGACCAGCCTGATTCTATCTGGGGGCTGAGCTGGACTGCTTGCCCTGCATGCTCCAGCTGCATGATTCAGGCAGATCATGAGCACAGCTCATAACTTGTTCCTTTTCTTATTGTCCCACGATCTTTTCTCTCCCACATTCTGCAGTTTGCAACCGTGAGCTGAAATGAAGAATTTCTGTGATTGGAGCCATCCTCCAGAAAGAAAAAACGGATAAATCAGAGGGAACTGACAGTGAAACTTTCTTGGACCTTGACATTTGTAACATATATCCGCTCCATCGTGCATTGCGAACACTCTTTGTCTATTTGCAGTTACATAAAAGGGGACAAGCTTTGCACAATGTGCTCCCAAGGTCTGGCACAAACACACGTGCTGACCACTGCCAAACACTAAGTGGGTTAAAGTTTCTTCCTTAAAACTCTGAGGCTCTGTTAGTTTTTTACACCCTCCATGGTACCATCAGGTTGGCGACCTCCTAGCCCACCTTCTGCTCCCCCCCACCCCGTCCCCTTTGTCTTCTACCTTTTTTTTTTTTTTTCCCCCCCCAGCATTTTCCTCTCCTTGCTTTAAAAACTGAGCTTCAAGACATACTTGGCCCCTTTTGGTGGTATTGGTGGGAGCCCAGAGCCCTTGCAGTGGCCCTGAGCGTGACTGCAATAGCAACATCATGCAAGAAAAAAGCAGTTTGAGACATGGCCAGAACCTGGTCTGGGTCTGAAAGCTTTTGCAGTTTTCTCTTTTAGGATACAGGGGTAGGGGCCAGGTGATGCTCTAGTTGCCTTCTGCACCCAGGCTTTACAGGATTGCAGCTGAAATTTGTGGAGCTATAGAAAATGCTCCTCAGACCTAAAGTGATGTGGTTAATACCTAAGCAGCATCTTCATGAAACATGTGCACTGTGCACAGTGATTAAGTATTGCCACCGTAGGGGACAAAGTGAAGGACCAATCCTTCCCTCCCATCCCATTCCTTCTGACCGTCTTTAATTATTTCCCCACTAGAGCTTTGTCTGTTCAATTTGATTTATTTTTTGCTTTGTAACAATATTTCTCAACTCTCTCTCTCTTTCCAGTTCTGGTTGAAATATTAATCTTGTTTATTATTATTAGCCTTCCCTCTCTCTAATCTATTTAAATGCTCTCCTACATTTCTACTTCCTACAGCCCATTTCTCACTTGTAGATTTTCTGTTCTGCTGCACTGTGCTTTAACAGTGTCATTTATTTACTGCTCATTTATTTGTTTTAATTTCAAAGCCTTTCTCCTTTCTTGTTGTGGTCTGTGTTCATGCATTGCTCCTTTCCTCCTGCTGAGGACAAGCATTTCTCTGCTTGGTTGGCTCCAATACGGGCTGGATTAAGAACAATAATTCAATTTATTTTCTTTCTTTTGATTTCTTTTCTGGATTTTCAGTGTGGATGGAGAGGAAAGTTTTTACTTTCTATTTCACTGCTCGCCAGCTGGAGGCTGGACATTGTAAGGAAAACAAACATGTGGACTAATACTTATCCTTCCTCCCCCTAACTCTCCAGCAGATCCTATTTTCTTCCTGATAGCATTCATGCATGTATTTGTACAATGTCTGGTGCAGAGAGTATGGCTTTTTTGCAGATTATTTCCTAAGTATCACTGCTGCATTAGCAGTCATGTGGGACTCGCACAACCTTGCTAAAAGAAGAGATGATTAAAGATTCATGTTCAAGGTCAGGGCAAATCTAGAAAGAAGAATGGAGGACTCTGAAAATAGGATGCTTCCATCCTGCTACAGGCAAAGCAGAGAGAGAAAACACCAGGGTTTGAAGGAATGAGGAATTGTACAAAAGAAGGACTGGAAACAAAAGACAAACCAAGATGCAATCTACATAGGATCCTGAACATATAGACTGTGAACCAAGATGTTGGGGAGCAATGCAGGGAAAAGAAAAAACAATTCTTTTCATTCTGTTTCCACACTCTCCATGACTTTTAAATCTTAGAATCATAGAATCATTAAGGCTGGAAAAGACCTCTAAGGCCATCTATTCCACTGCCCACTGTCTACCTACCAATATTTCCCAATAAACCATGTTCCTAAACCCCAGAAGCAAATCTGTCTTGCTTCTGAACTCCACTTGGTCTTTTCTCTCTCTGAAAGCTCCTGGTCTGAGGAGATCTCCTCTTGATCAGCACGTATTTCATTTCTTTCTTATTTTCATTTCTGATCATTCCCAATTTAACTCCCACAGCTGTTCCCATTCTCTTTTGTCTCTGCTGCATCCTGAGCTATGTGGCAAGAGGTGACAGTGTGATTGTGAGAGCTGGGGGAGGGAGCCTGGATGGACTGAGGAGGTCACCAAGGACTGGAAAAACCTGATAGAATGCACACATAACAACGAGCATTGTCACTTGGAAACCCCACATGTTTCTGGAGGGCAGAGAAGCAGAGCAAACAAAGGCATCAGACCTCATTCCTGCTTGGGCCCTTGAGAACCTCAGTGACAGTCTCCAGGCACAAATAGTTGTACTGTGGGAATGCTACAGTACGGTGTTGGTGTTTTTCTGCTTAAAGTGCTTTTCTCGGTACAAGTGTGTTAATTCTGAAGGACTCTGGGCAAGTGGATGGAGGATGCCAGATGATTTCTATCATGAAAGCAGTGAGCCACACCAGACTGGCATGGATGCCTCAGCCTTGCTCTAAGTTTTGTGGCTCAACCCTATAGAGTAAGAAGGGACTCCCATGTCTGAATCATAAATTGTTCCTCCAATTAGCCCTGCAGATGTTGGAATAACAGATTGGATCTGAGTGAGAGGTAGAAGAAATTGCTGTGCGTGATGGGTTATTTCCTACACACAAACACACCCAGCGCTGATTCCACATTATGGGCTGTCACTCCCCAAAACTTCAAATTGATGCAATCAGATGAAGTCAAAGCAAACACAGTCCCAGTATAAAACCTTTCGATGGTGCATCATCTCACACCGTGCGGGCTCTGAGGGTACAACAATCATGAAGGC